GGTTCCCGGGTCTGTGGCTCAGCCCGAGGGGCACTGGGCTCGGCCTGGCTTTGCTAAAAACCCGGGAGCTCTCCCAGGAGTCAGCGGGGCTTCGGGGAGCAGCAGCGGAGGACAAAATCTTTGCCTCGCAAGAAATACTCTTTGAATTTTTTTTTTGTCAGAATTTAATGTAGCGTTGGTTTTGCTTTTCTCTCTTTGTAAGTAGTGCTTTCCAGCTTGGTGCCCACGCTGTGTGTCCTGTGTATAATTATGTTTGCATTTCCTTATAGCTTTTTGTCTTGTCTTTCAGGGAGGGAGTTGCTTTCCGGTAGTAGTAAAGGAACGTGATGCTGAATGAGGACGCGCCAACAGCATCCTCGATAGTTGGAACCTGACTCTGCTTAATGTTGGTTTCTTTGTCATCAGGTCTGCTAAAAAATGACAGAATATAAACTTGTTGTCGTTGGAGCTGGTGGTGTAGGCAAGAGCGCCTTGACAATACAGCTAATTCAGAATCACTTTGTGGATGAATATGATCCTACAATAGAGGTAAACAATTTAATCTTATGCTTTTTGTGAAGAGAGATTATCAGTCATAATGGTAGTTGTTTACTTTTGGACAGTTACCACAAAAACACAGAACAAAGGTTTATAATAAAATGAGCTCAGAGATAATGGTCAGCTTTGGAGAGGAAGTCGCTGTGCAACTACAGCTGAGATAAATTAACATTTCTGGTCAATTAAAGTATGGTGTTAATTGCTGTGTTTTGTTGGGCAGTTTAGATATGTGTTTGGAGGATCTTGGTGGCAAAGTGTTTGCTAAATTGACTTGAAAACGCTTGGCAAAACTCTTCATGGCTTTGCATGCAACCTTTTAAATGTGACTTGTTGATATCAAAAAGGAAAATTTGTAGTTCTGAAATGTATGTGTCAAAATTCCTCAGCTTTTATCGTTAGGATCTGTTTCACATGGTGAGAAATGTGCCCTGGAATGTTATGGTGAATGAAGGAAAAATTTGGAGCCTGACTTTTTTTTTTTTTTTTTTTAAAACACACCAGTGCATGTTTCTGTGTCTAGAAAAAAATGGTGTAAGATAGCTGCTGTAGTGGATTCTTTGAAATATATGGCACAGTTCCTTAGAATCTGAAATTGTATTTAAGCTTTAAAAGTTGCAGTATTTAAATGGTTTTTAAAAAGCAGAGCTTGTCTGCTTGTTAAATATAGGAAGAATACTAGTGTTGTCTGAAATCTCTTTTGGATCGTTGGATTTAATAACCTCAGACTATATAAAAGGAGAAATGACACTATAATTTACCTAAGATTTTTATGTTCCCAGCACTGAAGCTTTGTAGCTTATGACTTCATTTATGTTTACACCATGAGGTGCTTCCAGTCTCACTTGAAGGAATCTGCAAGGGTTTAAATCCAGGCTTGAAATGGTGACTTGGAAAATGCCTGTGTAGTCATTTTCAGGTAGGCAGAAGCCAAAGAATCCAGTGCCCTGAGATGGTAGGAAGCTGTCTTATTTTAGTGAAGTACAGGCCTGACTTTGTGTGCCCTAGGTAGAGATGTGTTGGTTTGGGTTTACCTTAATGTGCCTGTGAGTTGTCTCTCTGTTGCATGGCTGAGTAACCTCATGTATGCTTCTAGAAGATGTTGTGACTAGACCTATGGAGAGAAGAAGAGAGCAACTCTTTCAGTTACTAAGATGTGAAGTCTTTAAAAAATCAATCACCCAAACACACTTAAAGTCAGAAAACGCACAAAACTCGTGGAGAGGAACAAGCAAAATGGGATTTTACTTCCTCTTGCAAAATAATAAAATGAAAATCTAGTTCTGTATAGAAATAACCTAAAATCCCCAAACTGTGGCTTTTATTTGGTGGTGTGCAGGATGACTGTGACTTGGGAACATGGGCCAGAATCAGTATTTTCTTCTGCAAGAAGGAACCCTTCAACCTAACAGGTTAAAGCATCCCCAACTTGTTGCATGCAATAGGATTAGTCTGCAGCTCCTACAAGTTCTGGACTGTGTACTGCTTACTGGTTTTGTCTTGTAAATACTGAGACCTTGAGGGTGAAGTCTGCATCTTCCTGCTTAGATGGTAAATGACTTGTGTGCTCTCACAGGTTTACAGTCATGTCAAGTCAGTTATGACAGAATTGGTCTGTGATTTGGAGTGGCAAACAGGTTCCAGAGAGTGGGCTTGTTGTAGCTGGGTTTAAATGCTTCAGCCCTGGCCTGGGCAGAATCCCACTCAGTTGAGAAGAGCTGCTTGGCTGTGCTTCCTGCATAGATGCAGAACTGCTAGGGACTGATGAAAGAACAATGGCTGTAGAGGGTTTTATGCAGGAGGAGGAAATAAGGCTGAAGTTGCCCTGACTGGTAAATAAAAATGTTAAGATGGTTCAGTACTGTCACTACTGTTGTTTCTCACTGTTACTTTTTCTTTCATTGCCATACAGCTGTTGTCAAAATACTAGTTTTCCCTCACTGATGAATAATCAAGGTAAATATTTTTGGCCAGTTACCTATAGGGGATTCTGTAACTACACTGTTGAATGATCATCTTTCCTGTGATTTAACAAAATGAAACTTCAACACTTCCAAAATTCTCACGTTGTGAAGAAATGGTGCAGTCGAAGAGAGGAAAAAACACACTAGTTACTTAAACACAGATGCATTTACAGTGTTAATGTGGTTGCTGTTTTCAGTGGAATGGACTTCATGATTCCACAAAGAACTTGGCTGGAAAATGTCAAGTTTCACAGCCTGCTTGAGAATTTTCTTTACTTCTATCTGAGCAGAGCAGATGGCAGGAGACGTGGGGAGGAATTAAGATGAGTGCGTGTTTGGGTGGCTACCATTATTCAACTGTATATGCTGTATACGTGTTTCACAGCCTCATATCTTATTTGAAGTAGATGTCCAAGCACAGATTTATAGCCAAGCAATTTTAAGTGGCTTTTTAACTGTTTGTACACTAACTTCTGTATATCCTGTCTGATACCCAGAACCGTTGGACTAGTGCCCTCTACTGATGGAGGCCTGCGGAATCTTTACTTTTGCTAGCTTGGACGGTGGCAATGCTTCCGAAACTGTGGTGTGGTTATTTTTTTTTCTACAGCTTTGGCATGTTTTAGTGCTACCCACATGCCATCTTTTCAGTGTTCTAGAGCATGGACAGCTTTCATAGCTGCCTGTCAAGAGGGTTTTCAATTGGATTAGCAAAATCCCTCGTCTAATTTAGGAATGCTGTTACTTAAGTCTGTGTTCTTAAATGACCTTCCACCAGCGTTTAGGAATAGCTTGGTCTTGGTAGGTGTGATATTTTAACATGAAATCCCTGTGATAAGGGATTCTGACAAAACAGTAGTTGCTTAGATAGGATTTATTAAGCAGTGTTGGTTTTTTAGATGAATTCCATATATAGCATATAGGTGGGATTTCCCAATTGCATTTACTTACCAGTGCTTGTGAACAGATGGAATTACTGCTCCTTTAGTATAGTTCATGCTGTTTTTTATGGCTGTGAAATGCCAATAAAAGCAGGTAAAGTGATTAATGAAATTAAAACTTCATATAGATATGCTGAGTCTGTATACTGGGGAAAAATTTATATTTGGAGTCAGGCACTACTTTGAAATTCTAGTTTCCATTTTTTTTTTAATTTAGCCTTATACTGGATATTTTGTCATTGTTTTTTCATGGCATTCATTAGTGCAGATCTTCCAATGAGCAATAAAGCTACTGAATTTTTATAAATTCTGAAGCACATAGTTTGGAAAGTTGGGGTTTTTGTTGTTGAAGGGGAGCCTGGCTGTTTGGGTTCTGCTATTGCATTTTGAAGCACAAGTGCCACGAGTGCTGTCATGGCACAACTTTTTGGTAGAGGCTACATTCTGTTTTGCAGGACTTGGTAATTTTTGCAGTATAGTAACACATAAATGAAGACATTTTATCTTGGGTATAGTTACACTGGTATTCACCATGATGGGGTGGGGGTCCCAAAAGCCTGAACTTTTAATGTGGTGCCTCAGTCCTCTTTCCTACAGTAAACAAATGGGATTTCAGGTTTGATGTTTTGCAGGGGACAAAAAAGCAAAGTCTTTATTTCTATAGCTTGGAAGGAAATCATAAGTTTGAATTTTCTTTCCCAAGCCTTTCTTTTCCTTTTGCCTCAGATCCACTTTCTAGGTAGTGACAAAATTTTCTCTCCAGAAGGGAGCAAAAGAACCATTGTCTCAGTGTTCCTTCTTTTCATACCTGTGCAGAGCTTTATACTAGTGCATCTTTGGGGTTGCTGTTAACATGGTAGGCATGCTAAAGCCAGCAGTTCTTAAAAGTGATTTTCTTTTCTCTTAAAAGTTATTTTCTTTGTTGAAAATTACTTAAAGCTTTTGTTTAGAGCTCAGTTGAAGGGAATTTATTTTCCTTTGAAGTTCTAAGATGTAAAGAGATAACACAGGCTTTTCAAAAGAACCTTTTTTCCATATTTTAAAACTAGCAGTCAAGCTGCATAAGAGAAAGTGAAAGCTTTGTAAATATGCCTAGTATAAGGATAGAAATTCTGCTGGTACTTTGCTGTGAACTGTGACAGAGGTACCACAGGATGTGGAGGATCTGCTGCTGATTTTAGGTGACTTGGGATAAATGTATCTTATGGTGTTTGGGTTTTTTTTGTGGTTTAGTTTGTTTTGTTTGTTTTTTTCCCTCTAAGCAGTAGATAGAATATCAGCCTTATTTTAAAACACATTGGAGGTTGTGTATTTGTCTCAGCTGTACCAATATTTAAATGTGGCTTGAGTTTCTAAAGTAAGGTACCTACATCTTGCATGAACACTGAATTTGCTCTTCTGTGAAAGAAATATTTCCAAAATCATGTTAGAGGTAAACTTATCAGGTAAAACAATACTGACCGTTTACCTATACTGTTAAATGCTGTCCAGGCTTGAGATAAATATGAGATCACAGAGTATGTTCAGTTTAAGCTACTGATTCTTTACAGCTCTCTTCTGGTTGGTTTATAGCAGCTGGAAAGAGGAGAGCCTTTTGTAAAACTACAAAGAGAAAGTGCACAGGAGTAGGTGTGCTGTGCCTCAAAATGGGTACAAAAGAAGGAAGGTTGTTCTGAATTCACCCTGAAGTTGGCTAAAAATTGCAACCTTAATTCTTTAATTCACTTCCCAGTAGCTGAGGTTCACTTCTGTACAGTGTTCAAAAGAACAATAGCAATATTGTATTAATCTCTAGCTAAGGGATCTGAAAGGGAATACCAAGATTTTGTGTTTATACCTTATTTGTTACAAGTACTGTTACTGAGAAAAATTTGTGGCACTGCTCAATGACCTATCTTTAAAGGTTATTGACATGGCTTTATTTAAAGCATCTAGATGTTTATAGAAGTTATTAGAAAAGTAATGTTCTTATCACTAAGACTATGTACTCACAGAAGCCTAGCACCAAAAAGAGCTGTAAACAGACATTAGAGTCTAGTTGCCTGGGACTTGTGACAGATCTTGGCCACATGACTCTGTGACCTGAAGACTTTGGATTGATAGCATTGGAATAATTGTTCCAGTGTCTCTGTGAATCAACCCATCAGGGCTTTTATATGTTGCTTTTGGCCTGTCTTGGCTAAAAAGCTTGAACTTCAACTATATCAGCTCAACTTTGGGAACTTGGTAACAAATTATATGCACCTGCTTAGGCAGAGAAAACTGATGTCCTGTCCCAAACTGAAGGCTTTCTATACTTCATTTCCTTTTCAGTGTTGTAGATTTTGGAGCTGTCTTACTTTTGTACTCTTTCTATTTTACTGTTTTGTACAGTGCTTTTGTAAATGTCCATCGAATGGTTGTCGAATTTTACTTTTAAAAAAAAAAGGTAAACAAGTTGTGTAAGGCTAAACAAAGCCAAACAGGTGAAGATTGTATGTCTTGAGTTTTTTTTTTTTTTCTTTTCTCCCACTAACAGAAACAAAAGCGAGTTGCTTTTGATCTGGGTCAAATTGTGTCTTTTTTGTGCAAAATAAGAAATAACAACACTGCCCTTATTCTGTGTGTGCATACATACTGTTACTCACTGAACAGATAAGAACATGTCCTTACAGTGCTTTTTCCACTTCTGAATTACTGTATATGTGTGAATATGGGACACTATTTTCCTCCTGTCATGTGCCCATCTGTAAAGCTGGGTTTTAACTATTCAGTGGCTAGCAAGCAACTTAAATATCTCCCAAGTTACAGGTGTTTGAAATCTTACTTGTTTGTGTTTAACCAAGGTTTATGTTTTTTTCTTTCCTTAGGATTCCTACAGGAAGCAAGTAGTAATCGATGGAGAAACCTGTCTCTTGGATATTCTTGATACAGCAGGTCAAGAAGAATACAGTGCAATGAGGGACCAATATATGAGAACAGGAGAAGGCTTCCTGTGTGTATTTGCTATAAACAATACAAAGTCTTTTGAAGATATTCACCATTATAGGTGTGTATATTGGAAGATAATCACCCAAATTCTTGTGTAGGTGGATAGGTTGCTTGCTCTTCCACTAGATAATAGTGTGATCTCTTTTCAAGTAGCATCTAAGGGAAAATTGGTAAATTCTAGTATAAACCAATATGACTTGGCACTTCTCACTGTTCATAGTGAAGACTTAGCTAAGGGTTGTAAACTCTGCCTGTTGCGCAGATAAAATTGTGTGCTAAGATGGAAGAACTTCTGCAGTTGAAATCGTACAATGATGTCAATTGATAGGTTTTGTTCTGGGAGGGGAGGAGGAGATACCTGTGGAATGTTACTAGAAGGTTAATGTGTGAGCCCTGATGCATAAGAAGGGCAGACACAAACATAAACAAAACCAGAGCTCCAGAAAAACCAACCTGTTCCTTCATATTTTTTTTTAGTAATTACTTCAAAGTGTCAGCTGATGCTTTCTTTTTCAGCTACATTAATGTAGAAACAGAAGCAGTCTGGTCACTACCACACTAGATCATTTATAAATGAGTTGCTTACTATTATAGTGAATTTTTCCTGCATATTCTGTCAGAAGGCAATGCAAATCCTGCTAAAGATCACCAGGGTTAGCAGCAGCAGTTTCAGATTAGTCCCAAACACCTAACGTGAAGCTATTCATAGTTAGATATTTATAATGCAGTCAGATCTATGTTGCTGTGTGGTGGGAGGGTGTTTTGCTGCCAGTATTATCCACAACCCAAACATCTTCTCATTAGCTCAAGTTGCACGTTTTTGTTATTTGTTTTAGCCGCTAGTTCATTTCCAAGTCATTTAAGGTGGGATACCATGAAGGTTCAAGGGAATCAAAGTTTATATAGAGTTCTAAATGAGTGTATCAGTGCTGGTGACTTTAACAACAATAAGAAAGAAAGAAACAAAAACCCCCAATGGACAAAAATAAAACCAAATAGTTAAGAGTTAGCACAGCAGGGATGACAAATGAAAAAAAAAAGTATTTATTGCTCTTGGAAAAACTTTGAACTTCTCTTCATATCTAACCAGATTATTACAAATGAGTTTCCTCTGGCTGTAGAGGAAGAAGGGGAAAATGTAAGATAGATGTTGATGTAAGTGGGAGAAGGAGCATAGAGGTTTTTATGTGGAATTTTTGTTTGAAAGAGAGAGTTGCAGGTTTACCAGTTTATTTAAAAGAAGTTGTGAGTTGAGTGCTGAAGTTTTGACTGTCCATTCACACACCTGTGGATGACCTTGCAAACTGGAGCTGAAGGCTTACAAATAAATAACTGAAACCAGACAAAAGTAATTAATTCAATGATTGTTATTTGAGATTCTAGTACATCTAACTAGCATTTAAAGACACTTTCTAACAGTGTTTGAAAGGGCTTTTACCAAACTTCTTTGTAAAGAACCAGACCAGTGGTCTTCAAAGTTTTGAAAAACCATATCAAAATGCAGTGGGTTTTATGCTGTCTTCAATTAAAAACAAACAAAACACCAAGCCTCAAACCAAAATTGAGATGATAGACATAGTGCTTTTGATAGTGTTTTATCAAAATGAAATTAGCAGTTTAGCAAATGAATTGAGTATTATGAGTGCTAAGTATGAGAGATAAGTAGGAAGATTTATGCTAGTGCTTCTGAGGTTTGTTCTAGGATTAGCTGTTAAAAATGGGGGGGAAATGGTGTCATGTCATCAGAATCTATAGCAGCTTGGAAAACGTCAACCTCATTTTTTAAAAATACAAAGATGGTAACCTTGATAGTGACCAGAATGATGTTTATTTTTTGGTGGATTCTAATTTGGTATGTGTAATAAATTAACATAAGGAATAATATTGGAATATGCTCTTTTTTTGTTATTTTAGAATCTACTCTATAAACTACTAATATTTAATACCTGTTAAATACAATCTGTCTCTTTTTAGGGAACAAATAAAGAGAGTTAAGGACTCTGAAGACGTCCCAATGGTGCTAGTAGGAAACAAATGTGATTTGCCTTCCAGAACAGTAGACACAAAACAAGCTCAGGATTTAGCAAGAAGTTACGGAATTCCTTTCATTGAAACATCAGCAAAGACAAGACAGGTAAAGCTCAGAACTTATCAGAAACAAATGCAGAACTCATCTGAATTATCATAATGTTAATTATTCTAGGCATTGACATTTGCTTGGTCACATCAATGGATGTGTTTCTACAGAGTAGAAGTTCTTATGATCTCCTCTTTCTGTCAACTCACTGGCAACTGGTAGTTTATTAACCAGGGAGTGATTCCCTTCAGTTACACAAACTGGAAGAATGAGAGCTGCCCTGCTCTTACTCCCCACTGTCATGCAGTTGCAGCAGTCTTGATGTTTGTGATGATAGGCTTTAACAGAATAAAAAGCACTTCTGCTTAGAGGTGAAATGCTTTTTCTCCTCAGGAAGAGGATTAGACAGACAAACAGCTAATTAGTTTATTGTTTTAAGTCTTTTCATTAATAACAAAAGGAATTTTTCTTTGAGGCATTGGTTTGGCATTAGAGGGATATGCTTGATGTACCTTCTTATGGCTAAGCAATTGGCAAGAAGTCTTTTTGAAATGACTGGATTAATTGCTTGTGTAAACCAATACTCTTCCAAGTCTTCAGAGGCCACTCTTGGTTTATTGTACTCCACTGGTGCAGGTGAAGGAGGCAACATTAGGGCCCTTTCAGGGTCTTTGTCTCTAGGACATGGTGCATGTAGTGGTACAGCTGTGTATTGAGAGCAGATAAGCTGTACAGACAGAGATGAAGCTGGTTCTGTGCTTCTAGAAGAAAGCATTATTTTTCCAAAATGCTGATTTATGATTTTTCTTCCTAAGAGTAAAGATTTATTATCGGTGCATCCTAGATAAGGCCTGAGTGGATGAATAACTTGTACTCTGAATAGTTGTGTTATGAATCAGGAATTAGGTGTAGCAGAAGGCAAATAAGAGCAGAATACTGCAATTTGAGTAACTGCTCAGTGTTACTGCTAAAAAGATTGAGTTGCATCACTTGGCAGAATTCCCTTATAGACAGTACATAAGTTCTTTTATGAATATAAGAAATTAGTATTTTATTACTGTAAACTTGCTACACCCACCCAAGTTCCTGACAAGTTGAAACTAGGACTAGTCAGTAAAGCTTTACAGAAGAGTCAAAGGAACGGTAACTTCTGGCAATAGAGAAACACTCTGTTGGGTAGGATTAAAAAAACAACTATGCAACTTCAGTGTCTGAGAATAAATGAGGCCACAAGAGTGTTCTGAAGAATGTGGCACATAAGTGGACTGAATAATGACAGTGTTCTTGTTTGGAAGGTCCTGTATTAGTGGTTGTCATTGAGATGTTAGGATAAAGGAAGAACTCTGAAATTACATTTGAGGTTTGAAATAATAGATGTTCTATACTAACATCTGTATTTTACTTTGCTCTGCCTATTTTATAGAGCACTAGGTTTTGTTAAGGAAATGGTGCTTTTACATAGCCACTTTCATTACAAGTATGTTGATGTTGTATTTTCAAGGGTTTCTTACCCCCCACCCTACCTGCATTTTATTCCTACAAGCAGCTTCACCATGCCTAGCCAAAACAAAATCACCTGCTCAAAAATCACCACTCCTGTTCAGTTTTATAATCTTTGTTTATATGAAATAAGTCTGAAAGATCACAAATCAGACACTAAGAGGTCTGTTGGAGATTTGTACCTGTTTCAGCAGCTAATAGGTCAGTCATACAGGAACAGTCATTCTACAATTTGACTGCTCTTATCCATGCCTTTATGCTTCTGGAGGTGCCAACTGAACTGTTACAGAAAGGATTTGACTGGTGGCTTTCATTTTTCAAAGCTGAGCTTTATGCCCTCTACAGATAAGGAGCCCCTAAAGGTGTCTGATGGATTTTAAAATAAAAGCCAAATAGACTCTTCAGAGTTGGCTTCCAAAAGGCCACTGGGTGTGGTCGCTGGTTCTTCCACAGCGCTGTTCCTAACATGTTACAAAACTGTTCCATCAGATGCTGTGTTTATAAAGTATTTTGGGAAGGCAAAAGGGTATTGGAGGAAGAACCTGATCTTTAATTACAGCAAGATCATCTAAATATTTGTCTGTCTGTATATTCATATACATTTACATGTTAGGATTTTTCAGTCACACTGTCATGTATAAAATACATATGCATATATACACACCCCCACTTCTTCCAAAGTAACTTTAATTAGGAGATTCAAACCATTTTGCATGCTGCATATAGCCCATGGGCTATATTTTTATTGGGCAGAATTTAGTCATTGATCAAAAATAAAGTTTGTTTCTCTCTGGTTGCATGCAGAACTTCCAAGTGTGAACAGATGTAGCTGATGGTCTGATAACTGCTGGAGTCTGTAGAAAGTCTGACATGAATACTTAGAAGTAGGAACCTTCTTTCCCTTTCTTGTATGTACCTCCCACCACACTGAAACATCCATGTAGCCTTGTTTTGATTACTAAGACTCTTTAAGATGGCATTGTATGCTCATGCAGAATATCTCAGTTCCAACTAACTCTGTAGGATTTTCAGAAATTCATAGACAAGGTCAAAAACAGGAATGAGAAAAACATTGAAGTGCTGAAATAAGTTGTTCTAGAAGTTAGTGTATTTGTATTTTGTTCTGACTGGGAATAAAGATGTCCCATTTTAAGACAAATCCCTGTATGAGTTTTCATACAAATCATTGAGTTCACTAGTGGACCCTACAGCCTGAGTGTAAGGCTATAGTTTATTACTTTTTTTTAATTAGACTGAAACAAATACCATGCCATTTACAAAAGATAGCTGTAGTTGTTTCTAAATATAAACACTTCTCAATGCTGGTGTTTTTGTAAGGCCTGTTGCATCATTTACACTCATCCTTTCACAATCCTTATGCAGAATTATATGATTTTTTAAGGTTTATTTCAATAGCTGGTTTTGCTTTTACTCTAATACAAGTTCTAACTTTAAATTCTTCCTTATCGACATGAGCTTATAGCTCCCAATATTATCATTAGTATCCATGAGAGATGAGAGGCAAACCTGATTTATCCCTGCCAGGCTGCATCCTGTATTCTTTACTGGGCTTCTGCCTGTGAGTACAGAAGGAAAAAGCTGTAAGGCTGTGCCCCAAGTGTGGTTTGACTGAAGGGTTTTGTTTTTCTTGGAACATTTCAGCTGTTGTGCTAGTACTGAATTCAAATGAGAAGCAGATAAATTTCCATTACTGTAAAGATAGTAAAGGATTCCCCAAAGTGTTACAGCTCATAGCTGAGAATATATACTTAAACACACTTTGGAAGTGTTTAATGAAGAAGTTGACCTAAATCAACGTCCAAGCCATTTTTAATGGTAATCATGTGTACAGGTTCTGCTTTAAACCTTTGTTTTCGGTTAGTTATAGCTTTGTCAGCCTTCACAATGTGGGTTGAGTTTTACCTTATAACAGACAAGTGACATGAAAAAACTTTTCCCAAAAAACTTTGCCCGTCCCAAAGAAAAAAAAAGCTTTGATAATGTTGAAACAAATTCTGGTATCCAGCTTGTGTGCTGAATGACTCCAGGATGTGAGGAAACAGGTTTGTTGTTTACCTGATGTAAAGATGAATAGGTGCAGCAGAAAAAGGGATATGTGCACAATGGGTGAAATTTGGGTAGGACAGAGAGCTGTAATTCTGGCACTTCTTAACTTTGGAGTGATTAACTTTTTAACTGTAATCATGATGTTGTGCAGTATTTAATATGAAGCTGCTGATGTATGTCTGGTACTTAAACATCATAAGCTAATAGCAGGATCAGCTTAACACTCCCTCCCTCCCCAGAGCAGTGGGGTTCTGTGGGTGGGGGCTGAGTTGTAGCAACTGTTTCCACATAGTCCTTTGAAGTTGTAAATCTGTTTAAAGACAGCAAAACATTTGCCTTAACCTATAAGCTAAATGTTACATAAGCTAGTAGATTTGATGGCTGGACTTGATGAGCTGGGGAATCTTTTCCAACCTTAATGATGCCATGAGTTTTAAAGGTTTGTGTATTCTCCAGTATTGGCTAAGCTGACTTTACCACTACAGATTTTTTGTTGGGAGTGCTCTTGTGCAAGTGAACAGCATTCTTGTTGTTCATGTCCTCATGAATAATTTTGATTTTTATTTGTCTAACAGTTCTAGGAGACCAACTTTAAGTGTTTAAAGGTGGACACAGAACACTTTTGACATGTCAATGCTAACTTTCATTAGTTTCCTTTAAGCAGTATTTACAGAAGCAGAACTTCTGAAAACTCCTGTTTGTACTCTAGTCTGTATTTGAAATATTCTTTGCACATAGTCATATTTTAAACTGAACGTTTGGCTGTCTCCTAGGAGGCAAAATGATCCTGAAAACATTGCCTCAAGGTCATGGGTTCTTTGGGCTGTTTAGAGTATTAAGTTTTTAATGTCTGCCAAAGGATGTTTTTGCTTCCAGTTCTGACAGCTAAAAGAAATGCAATATATTCTAGATAAATGGTCACATATTTAAGAGATATGATCCGTGTTCATTTAAGGAAAAAAATACTTAAGAATCTTAAATTGGTATTAAAATGAATTCTTAAGTTTATAAGATTGGCAGCTCCTCTTTAAAACGTCATCTTGTGCTAATCTGTAGGGAGACTTGTGCAAGTGTCTCCCTACAGATTTTCTTTCAGGATAATTTCTTTCAACAGGATTCCTAAGGCTGTTTTTGGTGGTGGCAGTAGTAGCAATTTCTTTTCTCACTCTGTGCCTCTCCTTCTCTCTGCATTGCTAAAGCAAATTACTGCTCATATTGGTGATGGGAAAGTTGGCAATAAATGTTGACTGGAAAACTTATCTAATTATTGATGCGAAAGCTCCATAATCAAGTTATGTATTTCTACTGCAAAACAGTGGTTTTGCAAAAATGTTGATTCTTGTACAGCCTGTGCTTTGGCACATAGCTCCTAATCAGTGTTCACTGTTTCCTCTTCAGGAATAATCTTCCATTCTGTCCAGGAAAACACGAAAGTGTGAGCTTTACTTGGGTTTTGCTGTTCTTTTAACAGCTTCCTATACATTTTGCAG